ATTCCCGTGGCATCCACAAACTTCTGCTTGACCTCTTTCAAAATATCCTTATCACCACGGAAAAGTTTCTGCCAAAAGAATTGAAGAAAACTATGATACAGTGAAGCGTTTACTACCATCAGCATGAGGTTGATGATTTCCAGCGGTTTAGGCAAAATATCGCGACTATTATTGTTGACTGTATAAAACTTAAAGGCGACTTGAGCTGAAGTCGCTAACAACTTGCAAAGATTGTCCAGAACGTAAATGGACAATGTGATGCAGTAAGCAGCTCTTGAAATACGTCGAAAACCTCTCTGTGTACAAGGAGGAAAGGTGAAATTCAGTTGAAGTAGTAAATATAAAGTCCATAGTTTGGAAACGGTCACTAAACATTCGATACCGATCTTTGCCTTTTTATTTTGAATCATAATTAAGACATCGTACAGAACTACAAGAGCTGTGATAGTATTAAGAGACCAGAAGTAGGGCTTTCGGACGAGGCTCTTCAATATTACTTTATTCCCCACTGGCCTTAGTTCAGGTAGCACTGTTCTGTTAAGCAAACAGATGTATACGGTCGACGTTAAAATTGAGCAAATCAGCCACAAAGTCTTCCAACAATATGCATCACATTTTGGAGCATCATACACTGTAAAGTTGGTGCAGTCCACAGTGGATGAACCGTGGTATAACATACAGTCCACCTGGAATGTGGAAAACATCACCAATGAACCCAACCTAAACAGCTGGAAAAGGATGCAAAGTGGTGGAAAACACGAAGAAACCAGATCGACAAGCATTCTGCAAAGCTGTGGAAGAAAACGATGATGTTGTGTTGTCAGTAATAATAATAATAATAATAATAATAATAATAACAATTATAATTTGAAAATGTTTATTAATTATTTATTGAGCTCATTCAAATTCTTCACGTAAACGTTGCGTGATTATTATTTACGGCACAAAACTATTTAGAAATAACAATTCTAATAAAGTCGTTTAAAAAGGAAGCAAAATGTAGTTTACAGAAATGAATAAAACTGGAAAAAGCTGACAATTAGAATGACTTGTTTAAAATGTCGCCGAAACGTAACAAAAGTATCTGCGGTTTGTGTCGTCGATTGTACGCCAGAAATAATAAAAAACAAAAGAAAATTACTCTCAACTTTACAATACACGTTCTACTAATTATGGAATCTTAATCATAATAATCAGAAGTCTTTTAAGAGGAATGTTCCCATCACTTAAAAGTGGTTCAGTTTCAGGGAGGTCCTCAAACAAAAAGGTCATAAAGTTTAAGATACCAGTCAAAATAAATGTTGAAAAATAAAAGAATGAAATAGAAAATGCTAAAATAAACTAATTTAGATAATCTGATCACAAGACGTTCTAAAAATGATGATGATGTCGATGAAATGATGTCAATGATTTGTCTTTGCCTTGTCGATGAAATGTCGGTTAGGAAAAATTCGGTTCATTTGTTTTTCATTGGTTCAAAGTAAAACAAGCCCAAATATACAAGTTACGTAATTCACCTCATCGCTTGAGGAGGTAAACCATAAGACTGGTATAATTAGTCAAAACTGGTACCTGTTGCGATGTGACATCTTCTTTTTACGAGTTGCAGCATTGTAAATAGTTTTACTAGCAACAAGGATTAAATGACATGTTTAGTTTCCCTGCAACTAGAAAGTCTTCACTACTAATTTTTCACGCACAGAAACACTGAGTTCAGTTCTAGGGAAAAACGTTTACTCTGGCAGAGCATTTGAAAGAAAACATAAATGATATTTATGCCAATTATTTTTTGTCTTATCATTTAAGCTACTTAGAGCATTTTGGTGACAACACTTCACAAAAAGACAAAACCTGCTTTTGTTCAATTACAGGAGTCTGCAATTATATTTAATTAATTGAACTGGCGACTGAAAATAGCCACATTCTCAGCTTCGAAATTATAGTAATACATTTCATTTGTGGTGACCTATTCAAGGGAGCCTTTTTGCGTGGCAGGGAGCCATGTAACCGAAATAAATTTGTCTTTTCGTTGTAACGACAGGAGATAGCATTAAACACGACTAAAGCAGACGAAAGAGAATTATAAAAAAGAAACTTAATCAAGTGAACGTATTTATTTTATTTGTTATTTTTGCTTAGAGTAATTCAGAGCGCTTGTTATAATCAATTATCTCGGATGTTTTAATGTTCCGCTGCAGCTTGCTCTTCCCCTCCACCAGTGTCGCCGGCCTTTTACGATTTATTAATTTCTTAGAAACGAATGAAACATTTGAAACGTTGCTTATTCACCACTGGCTATCACTAGCTTCAAATAATGATCATCTCTAAGACCTCTAAGCATGGAGTCCCCCGTGCGCAAGACAACACTTGCACTTACCCCTCCCCCACTTCCCAGCCAGCTGGAAGGGGCCCCGGGAATTGTTCAATGTGTCGGGAGAAGCTGCTCGCTGCTAGCATCTGGGTGGTGGGATCTTTGCCTAAGACACGCCCTCTCTTAGTCCACCGAAAATAAAGTATATTAAGCGTATTTAGATGCTGTGTGCAAGAACTGACCTGATTTTGAGATATGCCGCATAATTGCTAACAGACAAATTCTTGTGATCAAAAAAATTAGGAGACATGATGCAATGTTGCAGGTGTGTTAATTAGTTATTTAAATTCGTTTATTGGCTTTGATTCCTATTCAAGTTTCTCCTAACGTTAATTATCCTACAGCTAGCGCAACTTCCTTAAAATAGACAACAATAACAATTTTCATATGAAAAACCCAACTTCCTTATGCGCAGGTAAAAACAGTTTAATTATAGCCAAACACGTCGCAGCTTTACTTACTTTTACGTTCATCATGTTTATTTACGTCTGGAATTAAATTCACCTGTTTTGTTTACACGCTTTGCGCTGGCAGGGGCCGGCCACAAAATAGCGGAGGAAGCGATTTTAACCAATTACCGACGACATTTAGCCTGCCAGAACTTGATTGTAACGCTTAACTTGCAAATCTCGGCGGCTTCTGAGCCTAAGCCAACTATAAACAAAGCTAACCAAAAGTTAACTTTCGTGATTTCATTAGCACTTAATCAAGCAAAGAAAACCATAACGTGGAAACACTGAAACGCAAGTCGTGAGTCTGCAAGTTGCAAGGTGTCTTTCGAAGACAAATGTCTTCTCGTGCTGGACCGCAGACAAACTCGTCAGACGTTCAGCACAGCGGTATCCAACGGATACCTTAAATGATTTTTCCACGCGATTATTTTACGTTTGGCACCTGCGTTGCACAACACAACTGAAAGTTATAGACTCAGGAGTTTTTGAAGCATCTGCGTAGGAATATAACATTTAGTGGCGACAGATCTTTTCTCAAACTTTAAACAGATGCAAACATTTCTGGATAAGCTGTGGCGCAACTAACAAAACGGTAAACTTGGTTAAAAAATGCGGCTGTTTGTCATCACGAAATTTTGCGCGCTTCTGATTTTATCACACTTGGCGCTTGACGCGAGAGCAGAATGGAAGAATCTTATCGAAGTGAACGTGCCGGAAGGAAAGTTAGAAGACCCTGTTATTTACAGTGAGTTTCCTTATCCAACCGGTGATGAAAAGTATACGCTGTTATACGCCCAGAAAGGAGATTCGCTCTACGAAGTTGTCTTATTCCAGGTCTCCGACATAGGCGTCATAACAACAGTCCAACCTCTGATTTACGAGAAAGGAAAAGCAAACCAGTACGACTTAACGATCGTCCGAAGATCTTCCAAGAAGACAAACGGAGGACAGGCCGCCACTGTGCGGGTGACGGTGCAAGACGCGAATATCTTTCCGCCAGCTTTTCCTTTTAGTTTATACAATGGTACCATCAAAGAAAATTCGCCAGAAGGGACTGTAGTTCTGGGTTTGGAAAACTGCCACGCCGAAGACCGCGATGAATCCGGGATAAAAACATACAAAATTATCAAAGGGAACGAGAGGGGATATCTTAAAGTTGAAAAATACGACGTGGGTGTGAAAAGTTTCTTGCGTTTGCTAGCGACAAACACGCCTATCAAGCGAGGGAAAACCACACCCTTCATTACGTTGGTCGTCGAAGCTGAAGACATGAGGGTTCCGCCATTAACAGCCCGTACAACCATCGGCGTCAGGATCGAAGAAGTGAACGACTACCCTCCTGTTTTTAACGAAAGCAGCTACGAGCGAGAAATAAGTGAAGACACCCCGCTCATGACATCAATTATGAAGGTGCAAGCTACAGACAAAGACGAAGGAATAAGTGGAGAGGTGTATTATTTCTTTCAGACTTTGTCAAGCTTTTTTACCATTAATGCCTTCACAGGAGAGATAACTCTGGTTCGCGAGTTAGATTACTCACAGAGCGCACAGCGCCTGCATCAACTGACGGTAAGAGCACGTGACGCAGGAATTCCCTTTAAGGAAACGTCAGCCACTGTTAAGATCACTGTGGCTAAAGATATCCCTAACTATCCTTTCCAAGCGTCCCCGAACTCCGATCAACAAAACACTGCCCCTTCCTTCCCAGAAGCACCGTGCCACTTTACAATTTACAAGTCATTTCCGGTAAAGGCGAGTCTTGGCGCCATCTATGCGCGGGACGATGATCCACCAGGACCCAACAAGGAGCTGCGGTACTCTCTAGGCAGCTCCTCCAGTCAGTTTAGCCTCGACACTTACAGTGGTGTTTTGACAGTGAATAATGACCTTGCTGCACAGACATACAGTTTGGTGGTGCGTGCGCAAGATCAGGGTAGCCCTAAAAAAACCGCCGAGACCCAAGTGAAAATCAAAGTGCAGAATGTTGACGATCCCTATAACCATCCTACCTTCAGTAATCCCATACAAGCTATAACAGTTGCAGAGAATACTGCGGTGGGTAAATCTGTATTTCGAGCTTCGGCGAACTCCGGCTCAAGCTCGAGCAAAGGTGTCGTATACTCGGCAATCTTCGGTTCCGCGATGCCATACTTCGAACTGGACGAGAAGACGGGGGTGTTGAAGACCGCCGCCCCACTGGACAGAGAAACACACTCAGAGTATGATTTGATGATAGAGGCGAGAAACGAAGAGAAAATCCCCCGCCATAGCCATCTCTACCTCGTCATACACATAACAGATGTGGACGATTCCTACCCGGACTTCACCAAGCCAGTTTATGACGCCAGCGTGCCTGAGCGTAACCCAGAAGGGACCTTTGTCACCGTAATCCATGCAATAGATCAAGACAGTGCTTCTATCACTTACGACGTTTCCAGCTCGCCCGAATTTAAAATTGAAGCGAGCACAGGTGTAATAAGAACGAAAAGAAAACTTGACAGAGCAACTGGCGACAGAAGATTTCTAATTTATGTGACGGCAACGGACGGAGTAGGAAAGACCTCGAGCGCGATCGTAAATATCGACGTCACCAGTGCTCAAGATTCAGCTCCCAAATTTAACTCGGAATCGTACAAGGTTTCTGTGCGTGAAGGCCAGGGAAAGGTGCCGAACTTATTGTGCATCGCCGCGACCGGAAGTAACGGAGCAGTGAAATATTCATTAAAATCTGGTCCAGCAGACAAATTTAAGATCAACGAGATCACAGGTAAGAATTAACCATTATTCAGAACACTCGTAACGATATGCAAAGTTGAAATAAGTAACAACAATGCCGCTTTCTCGACTAGGTGAGCATTGTTCGCACTAGCTACGTAATAGCTTTTCAATAAATAGCGAGACGACTTGTTCACTCCATTCGTGCTCGGTTTTCCACCCGGTTTTCTAGGGGAGCGCGGATCTGGGAACGGCCCGGGTCGTTTAGTCCGCGGGGCAATCAATATTCTCAGTTGTTAAATAGAATACGCATAAGTGACATTGCAGTGGCTTTTAAACTTTTTGCAGTTTAATAACGCCTTTCCTGTAAGAGACAGATTATCATACTGTTGAGTGGGAAGATTTTTTTTCGGTTCAGGTTACGTAATAGTTATTCTTTTTGATTCTATTTATTCCACACACTTCTTGTTTGTGACTCGCTTTGCACAGCACTTTTTCTCGAGTTTTCTCCTATAGAAATTTTTTTTCAGCAACCCTTCCCTCCCAGAAAAATATAGTGATCCATTATTCACCTCCTGCGTTTGTTTTTGTTTTATCGGACTGTAATTCTGGGTCTTTTTTTTCAGGCCGCAATTTTATCGGATTCAAGCATTTGACAAACCCTTCTTCAGTGTAACCAGACTTATCCTTACAATTAGACTCGTAATTCTTACACTGCATTTTATCTCCACTGATCAATTAATTAAATCAGTCTGAATATGAGGAAGGACATGTTGCCATATTGAATCGTGACATTCTTTAACAAGAAAGAAATAACCTTTTCTAGATCTTAAGCAACCACGACAAAACAGCCATTATGTTTTTAATTGTGATATCAATATCGGCGCATTTCATTTTGAGACTGCAGATTGTCTTTACTAATAGATAACGAGCAATTTATTTAGGATATAAAGTTTGAGGTTGCGACAAAAATTAGATCTTGAATTTGTGAAAGTATATTGAGCAGCCGTCAAAATATTTGGAAAATTAGGAGCAAATACTACATTCAGTCTT